GATAACTCGGTCACCTCCAGATTACCCAGTCATCCCAGATAAAATCATCATCCCCAAATAATCAAGTCCCCTTCAGGAAACCAGATAAACCAGTCATCTCCTGGATAACCCAGGCACCCCTCAGATAACTCATCCCATATAACCCAGTCACCCCCAGAGAACCGTCACCCCAGAGAACCCAGCCATCCCTCACATAACCAAGTCACCCCCCAGGCAACTCAGTCACTCCCAGATAACCCAGAGCAGTGAGTTCCAGCCCGTCTGAGTGTGGCTGCTGGGTGGGTGCCTTTGTTTTTCAGATGCACTTTCTGCTTTCGCACGGCTGCCTCTCCATGCTTTCCAGAAGTGCTGGACCAGTCCACGCTCACACCATCAGTGAAAAAGCTTCCTGTCCCTGTCTTCTTTCCAGCTCTCAGACCGATCCACCTTCTAGCATCTACCATCTTCTTTCCAGCTCTCAGACCGATCCACCTTCTAGCATCTACCATCTTCTTTCCAGCTCTCAGACCGATCCACCTTCTAGCATCTACCATCTTCTTTCCAGCTCTCAGACCGATCCACCTTCTAGCATCTACCATCTTCTTTCCAGCTCTCAGACCGATCCACCTTCTAGCATCTACCATTCTGAGGCAGGGAGTGTAGCTTCGAGGTACTTTGAGTTTCTTTATTCCTAGCGGTTTGTGTTCACGGTCTGTGCAAACCCTGACCATCACTGGTCAGAGCTCACTGCAACCCTGAACTCCTGGGCTCAAGCAATTCCCCCACCTTGATCCCTCAAGTAGCTGGCATTATAGATGCATGCCACCACGCCTGGCTTCTTTACATTGTTACTCTTATTTTTTGAGACAAGGTCTCTCTGTTGCCCAAGCTGGAGTGCAGGGGTCTTGGCTCACTGTAACCTCCGTCTCCTGGGCTCAAGGGATCCTCCCACTTCAGCCTTCTGAGTAGCTGGGACTGCAGGCGTGCACCACCATACCTGGCTAATTGCTTTGATAGAGATGGGGTTTCGCCACATTGCCTAGGTTGGTCTCGAATTCCTGGGCTCAAGTGATCCTCCTGCCTCAGCCTCCCAGTGTTGCGATTATAGGCATAAGCCACTGCACCTGACCTTAAAATTTTTTTATCTGTAGAAACGGGGTCTCACTATATTGCCCAGGATGGCCCCAAACTCCTGATCCCCCCAGCCCCCCCACCCCCTACCTTGGCCTCCCACAGTACTGGGATTGCAGGCATGAGCCCCTGCACCTGCTGCATTTGTTTTGCATGTTGCCCCCCTGCCTGGGGCAGCATCTGGGCCACAGCAGCTTTTCAGTGAACAAGGATGGTTGAGTGGGTGTGATCTTGCCTGCCTGTTGAGCGCCACTGAGCACCACTGGCCAGTCACTGTCTCGCACAGGAAGTGGTGGGAGCTTGACAAGACAAACGCCTGTGGCAGAGCCGGGACCTGGATTCAAACTCGGCACCCTGGCTGCCATCTTCATTCCAGGTGAGTGGAACGATGAGCAAAGGTCCGTGATGACACCCTGGCTGCCTGGCCTGCTACCCTCCTCAGGAGGATGTGTGGGGGGAGTGAAGGGTCCACCCCTGCGGTCTTCACACTCCGGTGGCCCAGACTGGAGGACAGTCTTCCCAAATCCCCATATTGTGGGAGCAGCTGCTTCTTTCTCTTGGTGATACATTAACATGAGATTTCAACACATGGAAGGATCCTGAAGATGGTGAGTGCTGTGCAGAGCTTGTATTCCCATCTCTTTCTTTAGGCAAACAAGCTTTCTGAGCTTCCATATCCATGAAGATGAAAAACAGGAAAAAAAACTGACAAACTTTCATCTCTGCCCTAAGTAATATCTTCGCATGGAGACATTATTTGCAAGTAAGCCCCATACAGATAATTAAATAATGCATTTCTGGCCAGGTGCTGTGGCTCACGCCTGTAGTCCCAGCACTTTGGGAGGCTGAGGTGGGCGGATCACTTGAGGTCAGGAGTTTAAGACCAGCCTGGCCAACATGGTGAAACGACATCTCTACTAAAAATACAAAAATTAGCCAGGTGGCCGGGCACGGTGGCTCACGCCTGTAATCCCAGCACTTTGGGAGGCCGAGGCGGGTGGATCACGAGGTCAGGAGATCGAGACCATCCTGGCTAACAC